GGCCATGATTTGTTTTGTTTCGTCTGCAAAGGAAAGCGTATACAGCTGTTAATTAAGTGCCTTGACTTTCTGAGATACACTGGCGGTTTCCATGATGTTAAACCTTCATAAACAGTCAATGGAAGCTATACATTCATCTTTCAAGGGTTGTTTTTATTAATGGTTGTTTTCCAACTATTTCAAAATGCACTAACATCTTTTTGTAATCACTCTCAGTAGGAGCATTTGATGATGCAGTTGAGGAGAGGGTGATAAATGAGGAGTACAAGATCTGGAAGAAAAACACCCCCTTTCTGTATGACCTGGTTATGACCCATGCTTTAGAGTGGCCAAGCCTAACTGCCCAGTGGCTGCCTGATGTTTCCAGGTACACGCTTTTACACACACATACCAACATGCACTCAACTGTTGTGTATGACAATAATAATCAAGAATTGTTCTCCTCGTTCCAGGCCGGAGGGGAAGGACTACAGTGTGCACCGTCTGGTGTTGGGCACTCATACATCAGATGAGCAAAATCACCTAGTCATTGCCAGCGTTCAGCTACCCAATGATGACGCCCAATTTGAAGCATCACATTATGACAGCGAAAAAGGAGGTGGGTTACCGGCTAAGTAAGTGTCAATGACAGGCAGTTACAGTAGTCAATTTGTTAAAAGTGACAAATGAATGTGTTTGTTGCATGTAACATAGTTTTCTTTGGTTCAAGGGACCACTGGAGAAACCATTTAGGTGTTCTTGGCTGAATTGTAGCTTATTTTTTGTTTAAAACACTTTTTCTTCGTTTCCCCTCAGAGTTTGGAGGCTTTGGCTCAGTGAGTGGCAAGATCGAGATAGAAATCAAGATCAACCATGAAGGAGAGGTTAACCGTGCCCGCTATATGCCCCAGAACCCATGCATCATTGCCACCAAGACCCCCACCTCTGAAGTGCTGGTGTTTGACTACACCAAACACCCTTCCAAACCAGGTATGTAGCTCACACACAGCACATAACACTGCTAAAGGGGACATTTTGTTTTGAAAGTAAAGTGACTTATGGAAAAGTGTTTTAATTATACTGCCTCTCTACACTATCTGCTTTTTTTCATGCTGTGAAAGACACAAACTATTTATAAATGCAATTGTCAGCAGATGCTTCTGGAGAGTGTCACCCTGATCTTCGTCTCAGAGGCCATCAGAAAGAAGGCTATGGTCTTTCCTGGAATCCAAATCTGTCCGGCTCTCTCCTTAGTGCTTCAGATGACCATGTAAGAGAAAATTCAGGTTTTATTGCTATTGCATCAAGAAGCTTCCCATAACTTAGTCGTTTTATTAGGTCACCAAATGTGTTTTTATCTGTATGTGTTTTAGACAATTTGTCTGTGGGACATAAGTGCTGTGCCGAAGGAGGGGAAGATCGTAGAGGCAAAGACCATCTTCACTGGTCACACTGCTGTGGTGGAGGACGTCTCATGGCACTTGCTGCACGAGTCACTCTTCGGATCTGTAGCCGATGACCAAAAGCTGATGATGTAAGAAGCCAAGTCAAATCTGACAGGAGGACAATTCAGCAAAAAAAATATTTGATATTGCATCTCCACAGTTGTTGAATTTGTCTTATTTCACCTCAGTTGGGACACTCGTTCAAACAACACCTCCAAACCCAGCCATGCCGTCGATGCCCACACAGCAGAGGTCAACTGTTTGTCATTCAACCCTTACAGCGAGTTCATTCTGGCCTCCGGCTCTGCAGACAAGGTAATGTATATTCCACTCCATCTTAATTGTTGCTATTTAGATTGATTTACAGCATGTGGTTTAACTCCATGAAATCACATGCATTTAACTCATTGACTTTGCAACTACAGTGTGTGAAATATCTCTCTCTCTCGCTCACAGACTGTGGCTCTTTGGGACTTGAGAAACTTAAAACTGAAGTTGCATTCCTTTGAGTCGCACAAAGATGAGATCTTCCAGGTAGGATATTTATCAATCATGACACTTTATTGATATGAGGATAACCGGATGAAGTGTGTGCAAATCTGTACGGTCAGTTTGTGCAATTATAAGTTCTAGTTAAGAGAAAACATGCTTTCCTGTTTCATGGAAGACTTTCTGTTATATATGCCAAAAAGTTATCATAAATCCGAAGTATCAACACCTAATATGTGTGATTTGCTATTCCAGGTTCAGTGGTCACCTCATAATGAGACCATCCTGGCATCCAGTGGAACCGACCGCCGTCTCAACGTCTGGGACCTCAGGTAAACAACTTACCATCTTTCCCCTGATGTCCACACAATTCAGCTGTGTTGCATTCAGGCTCCTTTGCGCTAACCAGAGATGATCTCCTTCATGTGGGGGTTTGTCATACTTGAACAGACGTTGGAAATAGTTCATCTCTTTTGTTTTGCATTGTTTTTTGTAGTAAAATCGGAGAGGAGCAGTCACCAGAAGATGCAGAGGATGGCCCACCCGAGCTACTGGTGAGTCTCATTGAAGCCTGTTGAGATGATCTATTATTGTTCACATCAGCTTGTATAATGGTAATAAACATGGGGGCTTTTCTTCTATCTTCTAGTTTATCCATGGAGGCCACACAGCCAAGATCTCTGACTTCTCCTGGAACCCCAACGAGCCCTGGGTCATCTGCTCGGTCTCTGAAGACAACATTATGCAAGTCTGGCAAATGGTAAGACAGCTGACACCCCTTTTTATTGAATTGCATGTTTGTAGGGACAGGCAGATAACATGACTACTCCTTTGTTTTATATTGTAAGAACATGTGGAACATAATACATTCTGCAGCCACATGTTTTGGTCACAAACAGCAGGCAACTCTGCTCTCCGGTTTCCATCTCCCATACCAAAACTAAAACGTGAATAACAGCAGACTTCAAAGTATTTTCAGGGAAATGTGGTGAGATACGAAGTTCCTGACATTTTCACCACTAGCTGCAAAGAGAGAATCTCAGTCAAGATCGATTCTTGATTTATCATTTGGAATGATTCAGTCAGGGAAAAGTGAGGAAGCCGAAGAGAGGAATGGTACGTTTACTAACCTAATTGTCTTGCCCTTCTTTCACTTCTGTCTTTTCTGTAACACTGAACTGTGATAATAGTCAGAAAAGCTAAAGCTGAGCAGTATTCCGTAGGGCTGTGCAATTAATCGTATTTTAATCTCGATTTGGGCTTGCAACGATTCCGAAAACAACGTAATCGAAATAAAACGTTTATTGTTTTTTTTATTGTTTTTTCAGTTGAATGATTTCATTTAATTTCAAACCTTTATTTATACAGATAAATCCCATTGATCTCTTTTTCAAGGGAGACCTGCTCAAGTAGTTCCACATGAAACATAAAAACATAAATAGAACAAAAGGACATCATACAGCATCATTTACATAATCATCCACATAAACGGGTACCTATAGCTTCCGATTGAGTAGCATCCAATCGAGCTTTAAAAACATTTAGTGGCACCAGATTGTTCAGTTTCCATTTAATTTGCAGACTATTCCAAGACAGAGGAGCTGCGCATCTAAAAGCTGTCTTCCCTAAGACAGTCCTAGCAGTTGGCACATTTAATAAAACTACTTTAATTATACTTAAAGTTTAGGGTAATCAACTGTTAAAAACATAATGTCCAACATTTTTTTCTCCAATAAATAGATGTTTTCAAAGTAAATGGATAATCGTTTTTAATAATCGTTATTGACCGAAATAATCGTGATTATGATTTTTGCCATAATCGCACAGCCCTAGTATTCCTACTCCTTTCTTTTTTAAATGTGTCTCTTTGAAGCTTCAAAGTTGATCTATTGCTGTTTGTTGTGGAATCAAAAAGATGACGTTAATACCTCTTAAGGACCCTTGGCTAACTGACTAACACACTGATTCTCCATTTTAGGCTGAGAACATCTACAATGATGAAGATCCGGAGGGTTCGACAGACCCCGAGGCCACAGTGTAACTTCTCTCTGCTGTGTCTTAAACTACAACCGTATCACAAACTGCCAACAGCCACCTCTGTACTTCCATGCAGCTACTTATCACTCCTTCCTTTCTCTATTATACTTAGGGAAAGTGTATGCTGTAAATCCCTGTAAATACAAGTAAGATAATAATCCTGTAACACCTTTTTCGAATACTTATTGTGAAGAACTCTCCTTATACTGAATAACTTATTGTCGGATGGATCTCACTCGGGTTTCTCGCATTGCCTATAAAATATATATTTTTGTAATGAAATTGGCTCTCCCTTGTGTACTGAAATGAAGCGAATGCTTTTTCGATTATAAATTAAATGCGTTTCAAGAACCTAAGATGGTGATCATACTGTAAGCCTACAACAAGTGGTCAATTCACAACAACCTGTTGTCAAAAAAAGTCCCTCGGACATATTGCAGGAAAGTTAAATGTATCCAGCTTTTTGACCAGATGAACTGCCTGATTACTGTTTCTTCTAAAGAGGCCAGCCTAAAAATGTTTCATATTTTCCCTGCTTCAGTTTGGTCATCACCTACTTGTTCTGGATTTTCACACCAGCTGCTTCTCGGTGAAATTACTATTTTAGAAAATAATATTTGTGTTTTGAAGTGTTCATTTGTCCTCCCACCTCCCCTCACCCTAGTCATATATTAATCATTTAAATATTGTGCTATAGATTAGTGCTTGAACTTTTTAAATTTTCAATATTTTGTATTGTACAGTGATTGCATTCTTAATAAAATGTGTTTCGTTGGTCATCGGGTGCGCTTCGTCGACATCTCTCAGTATGAATGTGTTACTTGCATATTTCCTTTATAGGATCAGCGCCCTGCTAAGCTTGGAAGTATTTAGTAAACAATCCTGAGTTACACCTCATGAAACTTTGATGTCTGATGTGACGTGTTGGTGCTTTCCTGTCTGCCGTACATACTCTCACTCCATTACTCTTTGTCCCACTGTTTAGATCTCCATCCAGGTTGCCCTTATAAGTACATTATCCCCTCTCCCCTCATCTCACAGACATTAATCGTCAGTCGCACTTGGATTACAACCAACACAAAAGCTTTATTCATAAAAAAACGTTCTACAAGCTAATCTTCATAGACTGTTCTAAAACCTACTGCATTCAATGTGTGTAAAGTGCATTAATTGAATCTTGAAGTTCACTATGTTGCTAAAAGAAAAACTAACAGTTTGTTATAAAATCATGTTTTCTCCTTGTCTTCACACTTGTTAACGTCCTCAATGGCTGCCCTGTAAGAAAAAATGTTTTTTAATTAGAGCCGTTTCAAATGTTGTTTTTTTAAATAATTGATACTGAATACCAAATCGTACCTGTAAAGGAGTAGTTGTTTGGTAAGTCTGTCTCTCAGCTCTTCCGTCTCTTTGGTTTTTCTCTTCTGAATCTTTAACTCTGTCTTCAGCTCTCGGCTGCTTTCCTCCAGGAAGTACACTGTCTCCTGTAAAAATAGCACAGCGGCGTATTGCTTTGTTTGTCAGATGACCCTGCCTTTAGTAATGCACAGGGTTGGTCTTCTACCTAAGAAACCCCATTGAGATTGTTACCCTCTCTCTCCCTTGCACATTTTACACCCATTTACCATCTTGCTTACCTTGTACTGCCCCACATCCTCTCTCCTATGTATGCAAACCATATTGAGTTTCTCCTCTAAGCAAGCCCTCTGGAGACTCAGCTTTTGGATCTCCTCCTTTAGGGGTCTGAGCTGGGCCCTCATCTCTTGGGCCTGCTCTCTGGCTTTCACCAGGGTTTCCACTGTTGTCTCCCTTCTCTTCAGCAACGTGAGCAGAATGGGTTCATACCTGGCCGAGACAACCATATACAGATAAAAGAGATCAGACACGAAAGATCTGCATTTAAAGTGTTATTAAAAGTAAAGTAACTATCATGATCAGTATTAAACGGAGACGGTACCTGTCCTCCAGTGCCTTTAGCCCAGCCTGCAGATACTGCTGGATGTCTCCACAGGAGTGCCTCTTGCTCCGGTTCATCTCATCCTGGGTGTTGGTCTGACTGGAGCGCTGGGCATGAAGTTGCGCCTTCAGCTCTAAGAGCCGTTGATTCTGCGCTGCCCTCAGCTGGGAGCACCCTTCAGTCAGCTGGAGCACAAGCAACTGCAGCCTCTCCTGGAAGATGGGAATACAAATATTTTTACTTCAAGGCTTCGTCTGAGATGTGTTGCACATATTAGGACTTTTCCTGAGGAATTTCTTACCTCCTCTCTCTTCAGTATCTCCACCTCACGGTGCTGTGTGTTCAGTGCAGCCTGGTTGTGAGCGCAGTCCCTAACCATGGAGAACAACCTCCTCTTCAGCTTTCTGAGCTCGTCATGCAGCCCCTGCCTCTCCAGGTTCACCTTCCACAGCCTCCTCTCCTCCTCTGCTCTCTCCTCCCGGAGGCTCTGAATCTCTTTCTTCCTCTCCTCTCTTCTCCCTTCTTCCTCCCTCTTCAGTGCCATAATCAGCTCTGCCACCTTGCTTTCAACTTGTTCTTCTGTTTCCTCTTCATGGATCACCCTCGCCTCCTCAGTGTCTTTATTCCCTCTCAACTCCAGCACCTCCATCAGTAACTCCTTTCTCCTCTTCTGTAACTGCTGAACCTCATCTATACACTCCTCCATCTGACACCCTATTGCACTAAGTTCATTAATGCCAGTTTCCAGATCCTCCTGTCTCTCTTCATCAGGCACTTCCGTGTTGTCTACTTCAATCCCAGTTATGTCTGATGTTTTGGATGTGGCTTTATTAGTAGTTTTCATCGCCTCACAGTACATGGGAGCATTTTCTTTACTCTCACATGGCATTGATGGCCCTGAAAACCTAAACTGAGGATCAAGAGCCTCCGCGTCTTGCCATTCAAGGGTTTCCATTGAGAGGCCACTCTGGTTTCCATTTGCTGCTGAACCCACTGTTTCTTCATATCTGCTTCTCTTGGAAGGTTTATCTTCCTCCACATGTTGGCCAACCAAGGATTCTAACTGCATCGGCTGGGTTTCAAACCTCATTGGGCTTTCTTGCTGAATGGGCACCAGTGTTGTACCCCGATGAGGATTCTTACTGATGTGTACATACTCTTGGCTTGCTTCTGTAGCCCAGCCTTGGGGCTCAAAATCCATCCCAGACTCTTCCATACAGCTCTCCAACATAGCCAACATCCCCAACAGCTGACCCTCGTACGCCACCATGGTTTCACTCAGTTTATTTCCTGCTGAAGTGAGAGGCATTGCTTTTTGGTGAGAATCTTCTGAGGTCACTTGACACCTGTCAATAGTGGTGCCCAACATTTGCGACTGGCCTTGTGCTGGCTGGTCTTCTGTTCCAGACCCGTCCATGTGTGTGTCAATGTAGCTTGTGGAAAGATATGCTTGGGGAGAAACTATTGTTTCCCCGTAGCTCTCTACTTTGACTTCCTCTCTGCTGTGGCTATAAGATGTTTCGGCCAGGGTTGTTTCATTGAATCGAGAGCCAAAAGAGAGACCAGTGAGCTCCTCGCAGCTCTTCAATAAGCCATCCATCTCCTGCAAGTATGGCTTGATTAAAGATGATTGATTCAGCTGTGGTCCTGTGAAGGTGAGTCCAGATTGTGCCATGTTGAACTCTCTTTGTGCCATGAGGGTTATGTTCGGGTCTTCATCCTCTTCTTTAATGAAAAGAGGCCTGACCCCAGGTGAGGAAATGTTATCGTCCTCCATTGGTTTTGTCTTGTTGTAGCACTTCAGATGAAAGAGTCTCCTTTACAACTGTCCCATCCCTTAACAAAAGCACATGAATAGGTTAGTAATCCTAGCTAATACATATTAAACATGGTAGCTGTAGGTCAAGGCGGTCATGTTGCGAGTCAGAAATACTCAGCCTGCGTTAATATTTTGGCCAGACAGCTGTGTAAGTCATGCTGATGACACGTAGAGGTGTGCAAGGGGGCATTTTAGCAGATGGTAAGCTACTAGCAGCTGTCCTGGAAGGCTAGATGCCCACAGGGACCGACTGAATGCTTGGCAATGATCTGAAACACACCTCAAACAAGCCTGCCCATGCATCTACATGAACACCGCAGGACTACTTAAATAAACACATACAAAACTAACAAGTGGCATAACACAGATTACATTGGAAAGCATATTATCATAACATGTCACACCGCTGATGGATGGGCATTTGAGTGTTTCCCTGGTGAATAATGAAGCTGTAATTTCACCCTTTGAGGTGTTTGCCAAAAACTATACAGAGACTCTTAAAGGGTAGATTGATCAAATTGACCCAATTCTATCATCGGTACCCATTAGTAATGTAGAAAGGGCACAGAAAACAAGTGTGATTTATTCAATAGCAGCTGTTTCTTCGACCAGAACTCTTCTAAACCAAAATGCAAGACGTATCTTTGTGTTAAACAAGGTCACATAAAAAATTAATGCTGAGTACTAAAACCTACTAGAATGGATGTAGTTGTGCTATGCAAGGCTGACTAAAGCCCTGTGAAAGTCATCAGCTGTCTTGCTGCAGGACATGCACTGGCACAAGTCACATTCCGTTAGACCTCCGGCACCCAAAACAGCACTGGCCTATATTTGCTGAGCATTAAGAACACGTATTTCCACTAATCATCATATAAATAGTAACTTTCTTTCAAGCCTCATGGGATACATGTATTAATTTAAAAAAAGCTACATTAGTTCACAGTTTAAAAGCGGCATGAATGATAGCTCGTTTTTGGATTTTCTTCACGAGTTTCCATTAAAATTTGATCAGCCATCATATGTAAACATGAAATCATAATTCACTTACTTTGTGTGAATATTGTCGTTTCTTCAGCCTTTAGGCGTTATCCTCGAAGTGAATTTTCCAATGTGAGTTCAGGTTCAAACCCCAGCAAAGTGAGCGGCAAAGAGTGAGCAGGAGCAGTGTGTGCATGAATTTGGCAAAGGGGGGGAGTAAAGACAGTTGACCCAGCCTCCTCGCTCTCTCAGTCACTGTGCTGCTATGTGTGACCATGACTACCTCAATTCTGTTTAGGTTTATTAATAAACACTGGCTGGCAGAAAGAGGAGCCACTGCAGGCTGTTTCAACCCGAGAGACATGCAGGATTGTCTCAAAATGGACCTCTAAGAATCTTACTGAACCCCGGGTAATCATATGTCACAAGTTTCTTTTTGTATAATCTATCGTCGGAAATCCTCTATCCCACTATCACAGGGATTTCAGATTAAAGGTGGGGTAGGTACGTTTGAGAAACCGGCTCGAGCACTTTTTGTTATATTCCATGGAATGCTCTTAACATCCCGATAGCGATGAATATTTTAAGTGCTTTGACAAAAAATCCATCAAATGTCATCTGTGGAAGCCGTAGTACTGTAAAAAGCACGACCTATCATCTGAGCCGGCCCGGCTAAAATAACTGGATGGCCTACCTGCCTGTCAGCCTTCCACTTATCTCGTGCCCTCATTGGTCATGTGCACGTTCGTGTGTGTTGGAGGAGGGGCTCTGTAAGGAAGTAGCAGATTTTTTCCGGCTGTGTATTTTCAAATTTTCAAAATGACCTACCCCACCTTTAAACTGAAGGTGAATTTAAACCTAAAATTGAATAATTGACTGAAAATGTTAACGCATCTCTCGGATTTTAACGCTGGATTGACTGGTGGAGTTACAGCTGGATGCATTTATTATGGCTGTTGAGAGTTGGGTGTGTGTGGAGGCTGTTTATGATGTGTGTGTATGTTTATGATGAAAGAGAATATGCCTCCAGCAGTCCTCCCATGCCTCCTCATTATCGAGTCTTAAAATACTTTAAATAGCACCCCTCGCTTTTCTGGCCACTTCCCAAGGGAGGATTGGTTTCAGCCTAAACTTCTGACCCCAACAATGGACCACAGGTGGTGTAGTCTGAGGGAGAGGGCAGCGGGGAAGAGACAGGCCTGTCAAAGACATGGAAACATGTGGCAGATGTAAGGGGAAACATTTTCCAGGGATAAAGGAGGAGATGATGGACTAGGTGGAATGTTGAGAAAGAGACATCAGTGGAAAAACTGCGACCTGTAAATGTTTGCTCTGAAAACATACTTTATCTTAAATAATAATATTTTATTATTCTTTGACATCCCTTTTATTGATTATACATATATGTTTTTGCCTTACTTCCTGTATCATACTTTTCATTAAACACTATTTCTGAATATTTCTCCACACATATACGTTGCAGTCAGACACCACTAGATGGCCTCACTGTTTAACTTCTAAAAAATATACTGTCATTTATTTAGGAAACTTTTCAAACGTTCCCAGTCTTTCTTTATGCTTTTCTATTTTTTTAAAACAGCATTAAATGTGATTGTGATTTATAACATATTGTGTAGATGTTATCATGTTACAATGACAGCAGCATACAAAGTGACTTTGTCTGTCTTGCTTTTTTCTCAAATGTGTTAGCGAAGGCTTACTAAATATACTTTAATTTGCAGTTAACACCCTATGAAACAATGACGGCCTTTCCTTTGACATTCTGATTCAGTGTTTCCATGATAAGATGACATGCCTTGTGCTCAAGAATAGATGTAATGTTTATCTAAATCACTCTTGATGACCACTATGACTCTTTGTTTTGGCAAGTCTAGGCTTTGGGAGAAACACAGTAATTTAGATGACATTATGTCGAGGGATTAACTGTTGCAACACACTCTTCAAACCTGTTGTGTTGATGCACGGCCAACAGACTCTAAGAAGCCACTTTCCGTTGCCTGTCATAAAAATAATCTTTTCAGTCTCTGCTTCCCTTCGTAGATGATGTAGATCACCAGTGTGTGTTTGTAGAGTAGGACAAGGGGGAAACCACATATTTAAGGGGGCGTTGAGGTCTGAATGTCCCACTGAGACGCACCATATGCTGGACATTCGTGTGTTACTGTCTGCTCCAATCTGCAGTTCTGTCCAAACTCACCAGAACATCCTGTCAGTGTGTCCTCCTCTTCCTCCTGTTTCTCTTCTATTCCATCCTTTAATATCTTCCAGTTGAAATCATCAATGTTTTTTTCACTTTTCAAACCCTTTGGTATATTGTAGGAATGATTTCTTATGTTTCTTTTATTTAAATTGCCATGAAAGGGATGGCAGGGCAGAATCTATAAGAATTGAAGAACAACCGGACAGTATTTATTGTATCATTTACTAAAATCTGTTCAATGGCCATCTGTTTTATTTTACTTTCCGACATCATTTTGACTGGTGGAATACTAAGTACCTCTTCATAACAATATTCATAATATCAAAACAAACTGCCATATTTCAAGAAAGGTTTGGGGAAAGGAACCCTTGTGTTGAAAGGAGTCCATTTTGTGTAATTCTTGTGATTTTGGCACGTTTCTTCTTTTTGTGATGTTGAAAAGAAAGTTTAATAAACCTTCTAACTCTTACTTCGGTTCTCTCACGTTGTTGTTCCCTGCCTTCTGTCATGTGGGGCACCATAAAGCATTGTCTCACTGTGGCTAAGTGTGTTTTAATGACAGTGACCTTATCGTGTGTTTACTTTAAAGAGAGTGCCTCTGCTACATAATTGTCAGCCACCATCTTCATACTGTCGTCAGCCACCCAGTGTTTGTACCAGTTGGCTTTTCTTGGTCTTAAGGGATCACTTAATATAATAAAGGAGGGGGCCCATGTCCTTCTCTAGTGTGTTTTTCCACTGTTCTGGATTAAGAATGTTCTCTTTAAAGATGACATACACGCTTACCCTTAAAAAGACACAGAGCTGCTCCGGTTTGTTCCCACAGTGCTTCAATTATTTTCTTTAATCTCACATAAACTATTTTCATATTAGGCTACTTCTGATCGTTTTTGAGAAGTTTCACAGCGTTGGGGAACAGAGTGCATGTGTTGTTGTCTTGTATTCCTTGACAATTTCTTATTGTTCAGTGAAATCACTTTTACACAGTCACAACCAGTTCCCATGAAGAGACACCGCAGATGAAAACAGCTGATATAGAGAGAAGAGCTGACTGGTCACATGCTCAGTCAGTAAGAATCATACATTTCATTTCATTTGTATTTGTCCCGCTCATGGTACGCAAAACCAAATGTACAATAATTGCCACAAAACATGACTCTACCATTTAGCGAAAAGGAGCAGGGAGAAGAATAAAATCTTATGTGACCTGCCCCTTTCTAAAAAAAACAAATAAATACAAATAGATGGTCTGCCCTTCATAATAATAATATTTTTTTTCACAGCCAAACATAACAGTATCTTAGGATACTAAGAGAAACACACAAAAAAAATACTTATTTCCCACTTGACGGTTAACGGAAAGAAACAAAACAACACCAAAACATCACATGTATAGTTGACAGATTTCGTCTACAGAGTGAACAGCGATAACAATTATATCATTAGGAGATGTTCAATGTTGATCTGTAAATCTTTAACCACAGACTTGCTTTACATCAGTGTAAGGGTGTTTGTTTATGAGTTGGACAGGCTGTTTCTGTGTATGAGTGTGGGAACATAATCCTCCTATGTTCACTGATTTACGCAAGTATTTGTGGGAGGATTCAGTGACTGCAGAGTCAGTGTCGCAAGAGCCAGATGTATTTTTCAGTCCTTTTAGGAAATGTTTTGCTTTAGTCAACATACAGTACATACTTGGCTGAACTTCTGATCTTTCCTTCTGCCATTTCCACAACCTTTACAAAGCAAAAATATCTTGAGAACTATTGGATTGATTACCATGAAATTGGGTATAGATATCCATGACTAGCAGATGTATTATTTGGTGCCACCACCAGGTTAAAGTGTTCACATATCCTGTGGAATATCTTAATATCTACTCGGTGGATTAGCAACATTTATTTTACAGACGTTAATGGTTTCCAGACAGTTTACCCTCCGAGTTTGAAAACCACCTGACTTTCCAGTTATTGCCACCACGAGATGGATACCTGGTTTTGACTGAGCTGTCACGACAACTATTAAATTGTCGTGCCATGAAATGTTGTACAAACAATCACGGCCCCGTCAGAAGGAATTGGAATCCCTTTGGTGATTATTTAATTCCTTATTTTATGCCATCATCATTAAAAAGTAATAAAAGCCCTAATTCCAATCACCCCTAGTTGTACTTTTGAGATTTTAGCTGTAATTGTTATCTTTTAAACTTACTTGTTACCATGTATCTCAAAGCACCCCTGTGCTTCAGTGCGCTCTCACACAGAGCTGCTAGCATGGCTGTAGATTTATGGTCTTGTTTCAACATTAGTCCAAGTAGGTCTTACTTGGTTCCAGTAAGTACATCAACATATTATCCAGCACACTAGTCAGTATAAATTGTAGCATTCCACTGGTCTTACTCATCTCTCTCCAGTAGAGGCTCACCCAGTTGCTGGTGCCGCTTTTAGCAAAACCATCCATCATAAAGGCTCCAATAGAACAGCCTTCACCTGAAGCTAGCCCTTATCCCAAACGTGTGTGTGTGTGTGTGTGTGTGTGTGTGTGTGTGTGTGTGTGTGTGTGTGTGTGTGTGTGTGTGTGTGTGTGTGTGTGTGTGTGTGTGTGTGTGTGTTTGATAGAGGCACTAATATTATTAAGTATTAAGATTGCTTCTTGAAATATAATTTGAGGTTTTATGACTTTTAAAAAGTAAAAACAATAGGTCCTTATACGCACTCCCAAAACCCTTGGAGTGGGACTGCACAAATATGTTTTTAATCCCTGTTGTTTTCAGAAATGGTTTCTGTTTTCAGCTATCCTAATTAGATGTTGTGCATGTGCCAAACCTGTTATTTTAATAAAGATTCGACAGAGGTTAACGCAGGTTTCCTGGCTGACAGACGTCAGTGCTTAATTTAAACGACCCCCCCTGAGAGATCGAAAACTGGCAGATAGTTTAACTGCAAATGGAGAGAGGGAGAGACAAAGAAAAGAAAA